AATAATGTATTTTTTTGAACCTTAAACCGCATAAACACATTGCATTACACCAAATACACAACATAAAGTTGTTTTTAGCAACATCATACGACCCCTTTAAGGAAATGAAACGTCGAATAATAAGGTTTCTGAAAAAGCAGAAGCAGAAGTTTTAAATAGCCTAGCTTCCACCTGAAAGAAAAACGCAGAGCATCTGTCTAAATGTTGACAATTTCCACATATATATAAATAACTCTCTATAACCATGGAGACACTTCCGTTTAAAAGCCAGACAAGTCATTCGACATAACCGATATAATCACGACTTTTTTTTATCACGTTCGCTCGAGTTAATCAAATGCCTATGACGTGGCCAGGACAAAACTTATGTGAACCGAACATGTCCCGTCCCGGTCACCGTAGTACGAAATAATCATAATGAGATTTCCCCCCGAGTGAACGCTCTCTGTGATTGATTGGTTCTGTCTTGCAACATTTGCGTGTGTTCAGATGAGCAGGAAAATAGTTATATCCTGCACAATTATTTACTAACATAGGTTATTCGTCCAATTGAATGCATATTGTACGCATTATTTGTTGTTGTTGTTGTTGTTGAATTAACAAAATCACTGGTAAATAAAACACACCTTAATATCGATATTTTTTTTGTTTGAGTATCGATATTTCGATACTCGCGTCAGTATCGATATATCGATACTTTGGATCGATACGCCCATCCCTTCCCGTCGGTCACTTTCGTTTTTCTGTTAGGGGTGTGTTCGTGAGCAGAAACAGATTGTTTCACGGGAAGGAAACCCATGTGTGCGAGGCAGATAAAGGGCGAAGAGAAAACAGCTCTGAGCGACTGTCGCCCACTAAAATAATAATAATAAATATATATAAAAAATAACCTGTCTCTCTCTGAGCGGAATTGAATAAAGTAAATTGAAGTAAAGGACTAACACGCGAGATCTACGGCATCAGTATCCACAGCACTTCACTTTGAACAAGTAACAGGTGAGTTGATGGCATATTAGATTAATGCAGCATACACTGTACAAACTTTGTCCGTTAACCTGTAACATTAACATCAAAACTAATAAGACGGACTAAGTTATACATCAACGAAGCAGCATATTTAATGCATAAGTCAGGTATAAATAGATCCTTAAAGTAACAATTGCATGTTTACATCTGTTACAGTATCTATCCCTCTGAAATCATAGAATTGCCATGTCATTGTTATGTAGGCTTATGTCATAGTTATTAATTTATGCATAATATTTCTTCAGTGGAGGCCTAGTAGTGGAAAGTAGTAGTAAATGATACCATTTTATTTATTTAGTTAGTACTGTAAGTATTATAATGATGTGGCTCACAGAGTAATCCAGTTATTAATTATCTAAATAATTGACTGATTGTTTATTTGGTAATATTTAGTTTCCTTAAATGTCCTTAAAATAGAGTAAATTAATATAAAAGTATGAATTTTCTTTTTTCCGTTTCATTTTTGGTATGAATGCATTATGGTGTACTGATTACTTCGAATACAAAAGCTGCAGTTTATATCAATTATTAAAATTATAAACATAGTATGTTAACTATGTTACAAACCTCTTGTATTCGAGTGGATTATCCTAAAATGAGTTTAGGAAGACTACATGTGATTTGCATTCTGTACCTGCGGTCCAACTTCCCAGTTATTTCCTGGTTAATTCACAGGTGTTCCCAACATTAATTTTGTGTATTAATGCCATCCTGTTTGTTTTGTGGATTCATTTGCAATGAAAATCTTGGGCGGTCGACATTCCATTCCCTACGAAGCATGGAAAAAAGAAAAAAAAACATACAGGAAAATATTTGCTTAACTTGCTTTTCTGGTTTGCATGTTTACAGAACGTAATTTGCAGTCTTCCGCCATGGCTACAAATAATGGTGAGTGTGTCAAACCTTATCATCAGCAACCTGATCCTGACAGGACTGTTAAATTGCTGTTATACAGTATATAACTCAAATAAACACCCTGGCTTTCACATGACATTGAGAACAGTGTCAGTTGATGCTCTTTGATACTCTTCTTTGATTCTCTTGATTTAAACCAGGTTACCCAATTGACCTCCAACCACAGAAAAACGCAATTCATCCCGCCCCTCCTTATAACCAGGGACCAGCTATACCAGGCCAAGGTAAGGGAATCTGAGGAAATGTAGATTTTTCAAAATCTTATAATAATAATAATAATAATAATTCATTACATTTATATAGCGCTTTTCTAGGCACTCAAAGCGCTTTACATTGTCAGGGGGGATCTCCTCATCCACCACCAGTGTGCAGCATCCACCTGGATGATGCGACGGCAGCCATAGTGC